TTGTTCCATGCCAAAATCCACACCTCGTGAGTTGATATACATAGAATACTAAATATATGTTTTCCCCAGTTCATTTATATGGAAGAGGCAGCCCCAAACACACTTTCCTTTTCATGTGTTGCTTACTTTGTTGAACTGGAGAAGCCTCTTTTGACAGGAGACATTCAGAGGTCCTGTGCCCTTAAGGGATCATCTGGTTTGGCTATTTAGTTTTATTTAATGGGTGCTACCACTAAAGACTAAGTCCTATTGAACCCAGTAGATAACCTGCATAGCATTTATGAGATAAGGTAAATCTGGCTTTGCAGATTTGTGAACCATCCTGTGATCGTGAGATCTACGGAGAAAGGGTGGTGTACAAAATTCTTTATTATTATTATTATTTACCGTATTTTTCGCCCTATAGGATGCACTTTTTCCCCTCCAAAAACGAAGGGGAAATGTGTGTTCGCTGAGAGCCTGCATTCTCGTTGGGCTTCGCGCAGCTCTACGCTAGCCGTGGGAGAGCTGCGCAACTTCGCGCAGCTCTCCCAGGCTTGCGGATAGCAGCCTGTTCTGGGGGCTGGGGTCGGGGGAAGCTCGGGCTTCCCCCGCCCCAGCCCCGCACCTGGGGGCAGAAATAATTTTTTCCCCTTTATTTCCCCCCCAAAAAACTAGGTGCGTCCTATGGCCGGTGCATCCTATGGGGCGAAAAATACGGTATTTAATTTGCAAAGTATGTGCTTAAACAGTGAGCAAACATTAACACTCCAACAGCTGTGGCTATGGAAGAAGCAAGACCTTCTTGGAGTGTTAATGCTGTGAACCCTTTCGTTGTAGCTGTTGATTTACTTGAACTGAGAACTTTGTGAAACCCAAGAACAAAGAACCATGCAGGCAACTGTATGGTGTTGCGGGTTTGTGCTTTTGGGGTCTGTTTACTGATTTGTTGCAAGTTTAGGCAATGTATTTTATTTTTTTAAATGCTGTTAATATGCACTTTTTACAGGTTAGTGGGAATGGGAATTGTTTAATGATTTTTTAAAAGAACTGTTTAATTGTTTTTAAAGAATTGTTCTCCTTAATGGCCCACCACCCAGGCAAACATCTTCCTATATTTTAACACTTGCTGGGCCCAGGGGTTAGAAGGGTCTCAGCAAGCAGCCTGCTGCCCCGCTGCAACTCACAACACTCTAATAGGCGCACTCTTGCCAGTAAGTAAGTAAGCAAGCAAGCAAGTGTATACAAGCTTTACCATGATCTAGGTCTCTTCTGTTCCTGCTACCACTGTGTTGTGTACAAATTTGCCTCCAGGATGTTACCAGAAATAGGGATTTCAATGTTACAATGTACTGAGGCTTGTTAGTCTGGAATCATTTTTTATTTTCATTGCAGAGGCAGTTAGCTTATAAGAATTTTTTTTAATAAAAAGATTATCATGTTGCCATAAGCAATGCTCAGAATTTTGTGACCTCCCATCTGATGACACAATAAAATAATTCCCATAATAGGCACATTTTTTTTAAAATGTTGATAAGTGGATAATATTTCTTTGCGCAACTGAGTTTTGCACTCATATTTCTATCCCCAAATGGTTGGAAATCATGTGATTTACTCTTTGAAATAATGGTAATGCTTACAGACACCAATCAGGGTGGAAGCAGCTGTATGCTAAGTACTGGGCAGAGACAATTCCTATGTCAATTTTAAGTCTGAACAGTTTTAAGTAGGGAGATGAAGTGGCTTGCCTGAGGTCACACTATAAATCTTTGCAGGACTTGAGAGCAAAATGAAGACTGACCCTCAAAGTGCTTCACTGGCACAAACCCCATAGAAATGAATGTGCCTTTTGCCAGCAAAGGGATTTCAGGGTCTTCAGGAAGGGATGCTTTCAGAGAGCTTGGTTTTAAGCAGTCCTTTAAAAGAATAGATTCAGTTTAGTTTATTCGGTGGAAATTAGCAGATTCCCCTACCAAAATTAAGCCACAAAATCAAAGCAAGGAACAAAGGGTCAGGGTCAGGATGCACAACCTCACTCGATAGAAGCCTGAATGGGACTTAGTCTAATGTTGTTCCATGCACCATCAAAAGCAATTTGTTAGCAAGGTTGGTTCAACAACGTATTTGGGCAGTGTGGACAGTCTCTCCACACAGGGCACCGAACCGAGGCAGGCACCAAATGATGATGATGATGATGATGACACCTATATTTATATAGGCACCTACTCAAAGTTAGGCCACAGTCAGATGGGCAAGTGAGTTGCCGCAACTATGACATAGTGCACTGGAGAGCCCATTGAGAAGATCCATTAAGAAAGCAACTGTACCAGAAGGAATTATTGAGAAAATAAGAAATATTTTGAGGGGGCGGGGTTGGACAAATTTTGTCCTTGCTCAGGGCACCATATTACCAAAGTCCACTCCTGGTTTAGTTTAGTTTAGTTACTTTTTAGTTTAGTTTAGTTTAGTTTAGTTGTTTAGTTTAGTTTAGATAAGAAATTTAGCAGAGACCTAGCTTTCTTTTCAAGCACCCATATTACAACTGTGCTGATATCTCAGAAGCATGGTTTTTACAAAAAAGAGAAAAAAGTATGTGTTTTTAAGACAATAGTCCTATACATGCCTATTCTGAGTTCGATGGTGATTACTCCCATAGACATACATGACATCCCAACCTAAATCTTACAGATTGCAGATATCCTTAGGATGGGAGCACCCAGAAGCATCAGCTTAATTACGTATACACAAACATGGGAACATAAATGATGAAACTTTTGTCGACAGTAATGCTGTCATTTAATAATGTTGCCCATTCTGATACCTGTACATCTAAAATGTAAATCAATTCTAGAATGTTGATTTGCTATTTGAGGTATGTGGCCACACACACACACACACACACAATGCATGAGTCTCAACTGCTTTTCAAGTATACAAATAAGTAACTGTATTGAATCAATAACATCACTATGATAGTGTCAATCAGTTAATGGTCAAGGGGATGTCTGCCGAACCTCAGCTCAATAGTCATTCTGAACAAGTGATGTTTCTTTAGCATTGCATGAAGCCAGATTTTTATTCTAAAACTGTATTGTCACATTTTTCTTTCAGGCAGCCTTGCGGCGACTTGCTGTTATCAGCCCTGATGGCCTTCAAGAGTCAGATTTCCAGCAGTTGGTCAAGCCCAGGCTTGTGGATTCCTTCCTGCTCTGTACCAACATGGAAGAAAGCTTTGTATGAACAAACCACAAATATAACCCAAAATAGGAAATAGTGTTACATAGGGCAACGTAGCTAAAATCTTATTTATGATTAATTTATTTCAAGTGCTAAAAAATCAGCATAGGGAAAAAATGAGGCCATTAGGCACATAAAAAGAGACCTGCTGGGTCAGACAAAAGATCTGTCTAGTCCAGTATCCTGTTCTTGCAGTGGCCAACCAGATGTCTGTGAGAAGCCGGCAAGCAGACACAAGTACAACAGCCCTCTCCCCATTTGTAAACTGGTATTCCAAGGCATCCTGCCTCCAATATCAGAGGTAGTTCCACTGAGAACCTTAGGCTCCATAAATTTGTCTAACCTCTTGTGGGAGCACATTTCATACTTTAGCTACCCCATTCACATTACTTGGATAAGCCAAGGTATTATGAGAGAGGAAAAGAAACATCTCTCTATCTACTTCCTCTACACCTCACATAATTTAATGCACCCCTATCATGCCTCTCTTTACTCACCTCCCTCCCCCAACTGAGAAGGCCCCAAATGTTGAATTGTGTCATAGGGGAGTTGTTCCAGCTCCTTTATTACCGTATTTTTCACTCTATAAGACGCACCAGACCACAAGACACACCTAGTTTTTGGAGGAGGAAAACAAGAAAAAAAATATTCTGAATCTCAGAAGCCAGAACAGCAAGAGGGATCGCTGCGCAGTGAAAGCAGCAATCCCTCTTGCTGTTCTGGCTTCTGGGATAGCTGCGCAGCTTGCATTCGTTCCATAAGACACACACACACATTTCCCCTTACTTTTTAGGAGGGAAAAAGTGAGTCTTATAGAGCAAAAAATATGGTATTTGCTTGCCCTTTTCTCTACCTTCTACATCAGCAGCCGTGGACCAGATTAGGCCCCCCAACATGTTTTCCTCAAGTTTATTGCTCACCTGCCCCACAACTGCTGTATATATGAGACCAGAAAAGGCATGACCACAAAGTAGCAATGGGGCAGCCTTATAGGGCACTCCCAATTGTCCCTTGGCAAGTAAGGGCTGTACCGGGCACATTTTCAGTTTACACCGGAGGTAATACATAGCCATCGTGGCTGCTAGCCTTATCCTCCATGATTTTGCCATTTCTGCTCAGGGAAGGAGATCAGCACAGAGTGCTCTTCTTACCCCCCCTTGATTTGTACAGCAGTATGCAGGTCATTGCACAGAATAGGGGGTCAATACGCAGCCAGTTTCCTTTTCCCAGAAGGGATCCTAACCATCAAGTTATGAATGATCTGAACTTTGGCTGGATGGAAAGCAAGCCCACAGGAAGAGCACATAGTGCTGGATAAGTATACAGACACATGCAGGGTGATCTATGTTAGTTGTTGATGTGTAGTGAATAGCCATTTTATATTTCCCTAACTGGCAAAGTACTAATTGCACAGAATCATGTATGGAAGCCCCAACAGCCTTCCTCCCACCTTCCAGAAATGAAAAGCAGAGTGCTTTTGAGAGTGGAGGTCATGATTCTCCTCCCCCCACTGCCCCACAGTAGCTGTTTTTCTTTCTACCACTCAACCACGTTCCCCTTCACCCAGTTCAATATGTGTGTTTATTCTCGTAAGTGGGAAACTGGACTGTGAGCAATGACAGGCAATGTATGGGGGTGGATTTGGAGGGGGAAAACCATCAGGAGAAAGGGTTAAATAATGCATCTGCTCATAAGTGACCTGTTCTAGAGTTGCCTTTCATTTAAAACCATGCAGTTGGGGTTTCTGTATATGAGTAACACCGCAAAGCAGAAGACCAGATATTCATCATGATATTTTAATATTAAGACTGGAGTAGAATCTTCACCAATAACACATTTGTGCAGAAAATCTGTGGCTTCTGGTTAAAATGTTTACCATTTCTTTTTTTAAAAAACAACCACAATTTTATATATCGACAGTGTTAGCTGATTTATCAAACTATATTAACATATAAAATGGAAACAAAGAAGACTACAATGTAAGCTATTGGGTGCAATCCTGCTCCTATTTAAGTCAGTTGCAAAATGTGGTGATGGGAAACGAAAAGCTTTATATCCAAAAGTGAATGTTAACATAAATTTCGTTAGAAAATGAAGGATCAGTCATGCTGTATACAAATGTGATTCTTTGAGTGCAGTGATGACTAAATGCTGGTAAAGTTATTTGCGAGAACAAGTGCTGTGCTGAAAATTTCTTCCACTTTCCTTTTAAACCTTTCCCCATCACTTAATAAGAAAAGAAACTTTGACTTCAGTATAGAACTGTGTGTCGACTTAAATTACGAATCTAATGCCACATCTGCGCTATACAGTTAAAGCAGTACAATACCACTTTAGACAATCATGGCTTCCAGCAAAGAATCCTGAGAAGAGAAGTGTTTTTAAGGATGTTGAGAGTTGTTTAGAGGATTCCTATTCCCCTCACAGTTATACTCCCAGAGTTCCCTGGGAAAAGGGATTGATGGTTAAACCACTCTGAGAGTTGTAGATCTTTGAAGGGAATAGGGGGTCTCCCAGCAAATGTCAGAATCCTTAACCGACTAGACTTCCCAGGATTGTTTGGGGGAAGCCATGACCATTTCAAGTGGCACGATACAGCTTTAAAGTAGTGCAGATGGGGCCTTAGATGCCTATCCTGTATTCAGCATCACTGAGGCTAGTGGGAATTGTGCATGCATAAGTGGGAGAACTATTGCAACCTCAGTGTTTAGAAGAATTGGTGGCAAAGTGCCAGGCACTTAGTTAGGCTCTTGTTTTCTGAGTGGCAGACTTGCCAGAAACATTCTCATATCAGCGATTTCCTGTCAGGTTATGGGTAATGCTTTAGGCATGTATTTAAGCATTGAACTAGCCTGGCCTAAACTATAGGTATGATAGAGAGTCTTCAGCACACACTGGCATATGTGCTGAATATGGGAATTGTAAAATCACGTTTACTTCAAAAAATGATGATGATAATAATAATTTTCTCTGACATGTATTTGCATCCACCAATTCTACTATTTATATTTGTTTTTGTCTCCAATATCATTAAAGATTATTTGCATTGAGAATCCTTGGTCAAATACTCATATGAAGTAAATCTTTTTTAACATACAAAGTGGAATCCAGGAGATGGTACATCAGTGGTCCAATTCTGACTCTCTTCTGACGATTTAAATAAGTGTAAAATGTTCTTTTGTTCCTGAACAGGTTTGTCTAGAGTTAAGTCTCAATGTTTTAAAAGAGCTTTATTCCACAAGCCAAGCTGTTTCCATTGTATTAATGCACAACACAGAGGGAATGAATATATTGCTAAACGCATTCCAGTCTTTGAGTAATGAGAGGTTTCACAGGTCTTGCACATCTCTTGGGTTTAGTTTCCTTGGGGTGAGGTTCACTGGAGACTGATCGTGTTTCTGTGATGTCAGCAAAGCTGCTCGAATGGTTTATAAGCACAAGTTAAAATAGACATATAGAATATTACAAAAACAAATACATTAGCAGCACAATCCTATACATGTCTACTCAGAAGTAAAAAGCCATGGAGGTAAGTGGGTATACAGTGGTACCTTGGTTTACAAACTTAATCCGTTCCGGAAGCCCGTTCTTAAACCGAGGTGCGCTTTCCCTAATGAGGCATCCCTCTGCCAGTGCCCTTCCACCATTTGGCTTCCGTTCATAGACTGAGGTTTGCTAATCGGAACACTACTTCCGGTTTTGCAGAGTTCTTATACCAAATAGTTCATAAACAGGGCTGTTCTTAAACCAAGGTACCACTGTATATTTAAAAGTCTGAGAGCAAAAATTCATTTTTGCCTACACTTCAAGGATATTGCTGGAGTCACCAGACAGGCCTCTCTGGGAAGTGAATTCCACAAATGGAGTGGGTGGCGGGGGGGGGGGGGGCAACCAAGGATGATCTCTTTCTGGTCCCCACCCATCTTACATTTGATATTAATTGGTGTGTGGGGGTATACACGACACTAAGACATGAGATTTTAAAAGATTTTGACAGCAGTACAGGGAATATTGTGCTTCCATCTAGTAATCTCTTCCATGATGTATCATGTCTCCTACTGGCAAGACCCTTGTGTTTTGGCTCAGTATTTCAATGCCTCCTTAATAATTGCTACAGTTTTAGCTATATCTTTTTGTAACACTCAAGGTGTTTGGCACTAAAAGGTTATGTTCTACTGATGGGAAACTCTATTAGATTAGAAAAGGAAAATGTAAGAAACTGATTATATATAGAACTGGAATAATGAAACTATTAACCAAAGATGGAAACATGTCGTGAAAAGAAAATGAAAAGAATCCACATAAGGAACTGGCTCAGATAAACATATGTTCAGATATACCAGTTTGGGTCAGAGTGAAATTAAACCGAATAAATAAAATTAAACTGCTGCTCACTTTTAGTTGTTTGTTGCCTTAGTATTTTTTTCTCTAAGTGAAATGTGGCATGCACATCCTAACAAACTGTTTTTGTTATCAGTATCATCATCATTCTTTAAACTGCTTTTTTGCAGATAAAAAACATGAAAACCCAATAAGACTACACGGTGAGGTGATATGGATACAGGTTTACATATAATTTACCATTTGAATGTAATTTGCCCTTGTCCCGAAATCTAGGAGAAATTTGGCAAGGTTTCTGCCCTTTCCTCAGCATAATACCCCCTTTAAAAAAAGCAGTAAGCATCTGTTTCTGTCAGGTTAGTATGCCTTGGCAAAATACATACAGTTCTAGTGAAAACTGTTAAAACCTGTTTTTCGTTTTCTAAAACTTATCAAAACTGCTTTTGAATTTTGAGAGTTTTCAATAATCTGGTACAAACATTTGGTCTTGCTGATTTAGATTGTAGTCAAATGCAATGTTTTTATACCTTGATACTTCCCTTACACACACACACACACACACACACACACACACACACACACCACCCCCACCCGAAACATCCATAGTTAAGAATATTGACAGCCCGGAGAAGGGGGCTGGATCAGAAGAGTATAAGTTAGAAGTTTTGTTTTTAATTCTTGACCCGCTCACACTCCTTTGATATATCTTCATAGTATGAGCATCCTCAGAAGTAAATCGCATTGAGTTACATGGGCCTTACTCCTTAGTAAGCGATCATAGGGTTACAGCTTGAGAAGGTAGCAAGCTTTGTATTGAGAAACACCTGATGGGTGCAATTTGCATAGTCCCAATTCTTCCTGGTCATCTTCCAGAAATCCGGAATTCTGATAATATTTCTGCTGCATTTTGGTGACTGGAAACAGGAAACTTTTTTGCTTATCCTACCAGCAGTCTTGTTTGGGGGATCAAAATGACTCTCAAAGCCAAAGAAAAACTTACAATGCTGTTGTTGCTTTTGCTTTTTAAATCTCTCCCCGCTCCAAGCACTTCAAGTGTTGTTTTGAAAAGGTTTTAGTCGGTGCTATTTTTTTAGAAAAAAGAGGTGCCGGAACTCACCATGAAAGTCTCCCTTGTTCTCTTATAATGGTAATGGCGCCCACCTAAGAAGTGTTGGAACTGAGTTGCGGTGAGTTCTAGTTGAAATAAAGCCTTGATTTTAGTGATGTGCTCAGGAATTTGAGATAATTCATCAGATTTGCAGAGACTACAAATTTCAGGCAGATCTTTTAAAGCAGAGTTCATGTTTCGCCTTTTCCAGGATGTTCCATGGTTTATTCAAACGGAGTTGCTTAGATTGGTGCTGATGTCCAAGGCAGAATTCACTATCTTAATAAAACCATATTCTTCAAGGAATGCAGTCTAGCATTTCTACACAGCAAATAATCTGGTTGAAACTTCTCCAATCACCAAAGAAATAATTTCAGCAGAAGCTGCAGTATCCAGTAGGTCTGGAGTTATTTGGATGACGGGTTGTTTTGTGCTCCTGCGTGTGAATTTAATAAGGGAGTGTCTTTGTTTAGGTGCCCTGTAGTCATCTGAACTTTTTCCAGAAACTTCAGAAGTGTGGCTTTTTCTCGGTCCATTTCGTAGGAGCTTAGACACGCCGCTTTTTGGAGGACTTTGATCTTCTCGGCATACCTCTTCTCCTCCGCACGATTTACTGCTCTTGCCCATTTCAGAGCCATCGTGTCTTCGACCTTTGTGACAGACATCTTCTTTACTTTCTGTTTATTCATAGTAGACACTTTACTTAAAATCACAGCACAGCAGCTAAGCTGGACAAAGAATTAAGGTTTCCCCCCTCTTCCAGGTAAAGGGGAGTTATTAGCTTATTTCTTTCAAAAACCAAAACAAAAGCTATGTTGCATGCATGTCTCTGGGAACCCTTCAGGTGAATAATTAACCAATTTTCTCAGGGCTGGCTGCTTTCATTGTTTCCCTAGTGTGCCATCCTTTCAGTTGATTTAATAAACTGCCTGGAGAGTTCAAGGAGGAAACAACCTTTAATTTTGTACCTGCGCTTGAAAATGATTTTTAATTTAAAGGTGCTGAGATATAAGCTTTTTAAATTTTATTTTACTTCACGTGAACTTTTGAGCACGGTGGCCCTGATCAGAACTGTTCTTGATTCCTTCTATTTTATTGCTACATTTTATCCTAGCCTTCTTTGAAGTGGGATACAATCGTTCCCCTCACACTTTAACCTCATGACAAACCTGTTATCTGAGTAAGTTATCTGACTGACTGACTGACCTCAAGCTGCCAGGCGAGTTTCATGGCTGACAAAGAATTTGAACCTAGACCGTCCATTTCAAGCTTTGAGCCTCTATCCACACCATACCTCAAAGGCAACGTGGCTAATCTTCTGCCTTGTTTTAGCTCTGGGTGTTGCAACACCACTCTTAACATGCATGGAATAATCTGAAGCCCCGCACAGTTAGAGGAAGAGTTTGCCGATTGTATCCAAATATGTCGCTTGTCATGACGGAAGTGTCTGATCTGAGAGAGGCTTCTATCAGTGGAACAGGAAGGGAGGGGATTTTGCTGATTGTCTGCAGAAACTCTCTGCAGCTTCCTGTATCTGCTCCAGAGGGTTGGGGGTCTGTTTTAGAACAGCATGAGAGGTGGTAGGAGGAGACTGCTGAGGGAGGAGGAACGGGCAAAAATTGACTTCCCATTCTGTTGGTGGAAGTGTCCATTGGATGAAGGAGCTTTCTTTCTTCTTTGTAAATAATTTTTATTAAGTTTTCTGTTTTAAAATTTAAAATGCTCATTTTACATCCTTAAGATATCAATGTCTTCCCTTCTTCTCTTTCCATGGTTCATTTTTCATATCATAAATCCCTGCATATTTTACAAAAACTATACCATTCAGTATTCCATTATTGCTTCCATCAAAACTTGTTTACACTGTTGAATTTATCTTAATGCTGCCAGCATTTTCAGCTGTATGCAATTATTTCCCATATATTCAATAAACATTTTCTAATATTCTTTATTGTTCTTCTTTTTCTCTTATTCTATATGTTAAGTCTGTGAGTTGTGCATATTCTTAAGTTGCCACTCTTTTTAGTTGGGACCTCACTTGTTTTCCATTTTGGGGCTGGATGAAGGAGCTTTCCATTACCCAGAGAATTTATGGTATGGGGAGAAATATTCATAGCAATTCCTATAGACAATAGCCCTGTTTGACAGTGTTTCCCATCAAGTGAGAAGTAGAGCAGGGAGAACGCCCTCCAATATATTTTATTCACTGGCTTCATCATCTTCTTCCACATGTTGGGAGCTGAACTTCTGAAGCAGGGAGACTTTTCTACTCACAAAGGCTCCCTGCACGATGTAGAACCTGAGCTTCCATGGAGCGAACAGGACCACAGAAAGCTGCCCTACTGGAGACATTTGTCTCCCCAACACAGAGACGGTGATGAAGCCAGCAATGGGGACATGCTAAGTGTGTGTGTGTGTGTGTGTGTGTGTGTGTGAGAGAGAGAGAGAGAGAGAGAGAGAACATACTAGCAAATATTACAAAGTCAAGAATATTTTGAAGAAACAGTATTGCAAGAGTAGGATTGTATTAATAAATTGATGCTGATCACTTGATTAGTATTGCTATTTTATTTGATCAATTGACTCTTCATACACAAGGGTATGGACACTAGTGCTTTTTTCTGGCGGTACTCCATGGTACGCGGTACCAGCAATTTTTTTTCTAGAAAAAAAGCACTGCTTAAATGTCAGGGACTGACTGTGTAGGATTTGTTTGTGTGTGTGTCCCCCCCAACTGTAATTCATTCATGGGGGTCAGGACTTTGGGTTGTGTCAGGCGTCAGAGAATCCAATCCCCCACAGTAGGTTGCCAGGAATGGATAAGACAAGGAAAGTTCTTACCAATGGTTTTTATTCAATATTCACAGAGAGAGGCCTAGAAATGCCGCCTCTTGGAGTAATGGCGTTACTCCAAGTGAGTCTCCACCCCTCCCCCTCTCCCATTATGCGTCATCACTACGGGTGCTGAGAAGTGCCCTCTGCCTTTGAGCTCTTTGCTCTCCTACTTTCAATGCCTGCCAGGTTCTGGGGAGGGGGGGTCTGGAATGCTTCTAAAGACGCTATGTCCATCCGCTGTCCCCCCTCTGGTGCTTCTTCTACCTCCTCTCCCATTATCTCCCAGCTTTTCCCCTCATCCGCCTCAAACCCCTGTTGTAATTCTGAACTGTCTTCTTCTTTGGAAGGGTCAGGCTAGGGAGGCGGTCTCCACCATTCCTCCTCTGCCCAGTCTCTGACAGGTTGGCGCTCGCCTGTCCATTGGAGCACCTTGGCTGGGTAAACCAAAGGTGCGTCCCGTGGTGCAGCAACTTCTACCCTGCCAAGGCAGCTAGTGCCGTGTTCGTAACTTCAAACCCAGAGCAGGGCAGGGGTGGGTGCGGCTGGCATGCCATGAAGATAAGCTGCTCCTCTCCTCTCCCTTTCGAGTCTTGTTATGGCTCTGCCCACCCAGGACTCAGCAGTGAAGCTGTTTTGGTGGGTAATAATGGCCACAGGGCGGAGTGTGCACCTGCCAGAGAGAGAGCCGGACTAGGCCTCTGTTCGCTACACAGTACCAGCACCTTTTTGTCTAGGAAAAAAGCACTGATGTGCACCCAGTTAATTGTGGCATACAGTGGTACCTTGGTTCTCAAACTTAATCTGTTCTGGAGGTCCATTCAAAAACCAAAGCGTTCCAAAACCAAGGCGCGCTTTCCCATAGAAAGTAATGGATTAATCCGTTCCAGACTTTAAAAAACAATCCCTAAAACAGCAATTTAACTTGGATTTTACTATCTAACGAGGCCATTGATCCATAAAATGAAACTAATAAACAATGTACTGCAGTCACACAATCAATCAATCAGTAGCTGAACTGGGTTCCACACAGTCACAAAAACAAAACAAAAAAGAGCCGCAAAAACAAAAACGCAAAATAAATAGCAAAAACAGACAGACTTCAATGTAACACTCAAAACAGAAGTGTGGCACTCAAATCGGAAGTGTAACACTCAAATCAGAAGTGTAACACTCTAAACAGAGCACTTTCAGCTTCTTAAAAAAGTTCAGAAACCAGAACACTTACTTCTGGGTTTGCAGTGTTTGAGTTCCAAGGTGTTTGAGAACCAAGGTACCACTGTAGTTCCTTCAGCTTACAATTTTTGCAAATGTAAAGGGAGTCTTCCACTTAAGGGTCTCCAGAGAGCTCAGATGAGAATGTGGTCACTCACTTCCCTTGTTTCAAGAAGTCTGTTCTGCATGAAGACTTTAAAAATCTTTCTAGGCAATAGAGACAACTATTAAAAAATGGCTTTATTTGGATAAACAGGAAAGCTTTCATTTGCACAGCTTCAGTCTTTTAAAAAGAAAGAATCAAAAATTACAATTTCACAATGTAAGCAGGGAAGTGCTCATTGAGGGAGATGTGCTGACATCTACTGGAAATGTAAAACATTTCACTTTGCATTTACAAGTCAGCTTGCTCAGTGTCTTTTGGCTGACATCTAGAGTTTGAGGAATCTTTGCACTTGCAGTGGTAAGTGCAGTAAAAGAGGCAAGCCTATTAAATCAGGACTGGCAAACCCGTATCACTCCAGATGTTGTTGGACAGCAACTCTTATCAGCCCCAGCCAGCATGGTCAAGCATGATGGGAGCTGTAGTCCAGCAACATCTGGCGGGCCACAGGTTAACTGCCTCTGATCTAAATGGAGGGATGGGAGAGCAGAAGGTAGGAGGGAGATACAGCAATGGTTAGAGGAAATGTATTTCTCGATATATTTATATACTTGATACAGGTATAATATACTAGTTAGCCTATGGAAAGATGGAGTTCTATACTTTTAGAGGGTTCAGCAGAAAGAGAATAGGAAGCACACCATCATTTTCATCTCTCCTCCCATGCTATCTTGTGCTCTTCTGTTTTCCTTGCATGTTTGGCCCTCAGGGATAGCTATTTAAATCCCTTGCCATGCAATCATAGGAAGCTGCCTTATACCAGGTCAGACCATTGGTTCATCTAGTTCACTATTGTCTACAGTCTCTACATGGATTGGGGGCAATTTTCTAGCACTTCAGATTGGAGTGTTTTCCAGTCCTACCTGGAGATGCAGGAATTGTACCTGAATCTTCTGTATGCAAAACACACGACCTATGACTGGGATGCAATCCTTCATACTGGTCATATGATATTGTCCAGAAACCCTTAACAATAGTTCAGTGATATACGTTCAATAACTTATGCCAGCCTTTTTGTTTGCACTCAATCATTTTTGTCTTGCAAAAATAAAAAAAACCCATTCTGATTCTAGTTTTTATACCCTGAGAGGAGGATTCTGGGTGATGTGATGTGAAGCAGACTACAAGCATGATGTGCTACATTCTGTTCAGAACTGGAATTATTTGGCTGTCATCCAGCATTAGAGTTAGAATCTCTGACATGACAGTTTCTGAGTTGTATTAATATGTTTTAATCTTGCAAATTAATTTTGTTCCTCCAGCCAGCCGTTGCAGCATTGTGTTTCAAATTTGCAGGGCTAACCAGTTTCCATCTACCCATCAATTTCATTTAACTTCTTTTCGGCTGTCACAGATTGTTCACAGCCCAGAAAAGGTGGACCAAGACCCACACATCCTCATACAGATCGATGCCCACATTGCAAACTATCTGAGCCCTCTCATCCTAAAGCAGAGGATTCAGCTAAGGATTGATCCAAGAGAAGAAATACTGAAATGGGGACAATGAGGAGATGGAGCAAGAGGGCCAAAGGGGAAAAGAAAGATCTACATTGGCTTCCAGTACGTTTCCAAGCACAATTCAAAATGTTGGTGCT